TCAATGTAAAAGTTTTATCAAACATAATGTAAATGTTTTACCACACAAATTACGAAACCTAGACTAATCTTGACTTTAGACGACATAAAGTTTTCTTTTGGCAAACACAAAAACACAAGGAAAATAAATATAGTGATATTTTTGAGAATGCGTTTTATTTTTACATTAATTTTGGGAACACTTGTTTAACATTTAATCTTATATTTTTTTATATTTAGTTATATTTTTGGTATATATATATATATATATATATATATATGCAGTATATATAATATAAGTGTGTGTGTCTATGATTAAATAAATCATTATGTATATTTAACATAATTTTCCTCATAATTCACTGATATTTGCCAGCAGATGTTTGATTGCAGTTCATCATAAGTGACATGTATTTGACATCTGAAATTGTGCACGTATGCCATGAGAGATGTTTGTTTAACTGGTCTGGATCTTTTGGGTTGGTCTTGAGTTCAGCAGAATGTCATACTGGCTCCCCGAAGTGCAGAGACCATGTAGGGTATGCTGTGGTTACATTGTAGGTTTTAATCAGTGGAATCTGAGGTCAACTCTACAAGGGTGTATGAGCGCAGCACCAAAACACCACAACCTTTTAAACTTGTAAATGAGAAGCATTATCTTTGCAGAACAAAGTAAGGTAAAGCATTCTATTCAGAAACATATTCCATGGGATATTTGAGAAAATTCTATTTCAGTTCAATATTCAAGTCCAGTTATTTACATTTGTGGTAGGAATAATAAGCTATAATATATAATGTTCATTCAATTAGTCAGTATCAAATAGTACATTTTTTACTATTTACTTAAGCACTTCATTTGCAATAATGACCAGTTGTGTGTGTGTGCGTGTGGGCATTGTGTATTTTTCAATTTTCAGTCTGTGTAAATAGTGAAGAGTAGAGTGAAATTGAAATGACTCTCAGATGGCACATTTTCTCACTCGATTCCCTCCACCCTTTCTCGCTCTTTCCCACCCGTTTCTCTGTTTTGTTTTCAGTAGTTTGTGGTTGGCAGGTCGTTGATGGGTACAATGTTTACTTCAAGCATGCCGTGCACAGTTCATTAGAAACACACACACATACACACATGCATTACATTTGACCTTGTTTTTTGTTGTGGCAGGTATTGGATTTAATTGAGGCTGCAAACTGCAGACATGAGGTGTTCAATGTAAACGACTGCTCCAAGAAGTAAATTTTTACCCAGCAATATGCTAGCATCAAACTTTATGAAAAGCCTAAACACTGTTGAAGAAGCTGCTAATGGTGCCAGTAACCAGAAAGGCTGCTAACTAGGTTTTAGAGTCAGTGTTTCGATAACAACAAAATATACTCCTAACATCACACAAAAGATGCCTGAAAACGAAACTTTCATTTCGACAAAATCATTTATAAAGCACTCGTACACTTTTTGAATTAAAAAATCCTTTTTTATATATATATTTGTTGCATTTTGCATTTCTTGCTTTGTGATTTTAAACTAAGTTGTGTGTGATTGCAGTCAAGTCATTAGCGGTATGTGTGAAATTAAATGAAACTTATGAGCTATTTTGTGCAACATGCTTCAATGTTGTCTCGGCACGAGGTGTGTTACCGAGTGACACAGGAAGTATTGCTCACTTGGTGCAACTGGACAAGTAAAAAAAAAAGCAATGGCAGTGCTTGCTGAATTTAAATCTGTACTCAGATCAAGTAAATTCTGCTGGAGAAAAAAAAAGATGAACTTGTTTTACTTGCTATTCTGAAGGGACCTTTAGGAACTTTTATATTATGGAGCTTTTATGTTATGATTTTTCTGATATTAATTGTGATGCAAACCAACAAGCACAGTGGCATTGGATAAGTGCATTTTTTAGTCCAAACACATGATTTTGTGGTTCAGCCCAATTTACCCAGACAACCACTTTGCACAAGACTGTATAACTGTAAGACAATTTTTTTAAGTTAATACAACTCAACACAACTTAAAGCTATAATAATTGTTACAATGATTTTAATTCATTTTAATGCATGGCAACTTGACATTTTAAGTTCACTCGATACATTAAAGTAGATTAATTCAACTCTAAAAATGCCAAACACCTCATTTTTGTTAGTTTTAGACATCTTACAGGTCACCAGATAAGCTAAATACACGGATAAGCAAAATTGCCCACAACTGGGTAAAACACTCCCACATTTGGCTGGTGGCGGTTGTTAATTTCACACCCTATATGTAGAAAGATACTATGTTTTCAGATCAGCACTTTCTCTCATGCTTGTTTTTCTTTCTTTGTTCATTTTAAGTTTTTTTCTTTTATTTTGATCTTGTTTTTGGCCATGGACAGAGCATTTCCTCACAGATACGGGCTGCTGGATGCATTTAGACATGCACACATGGGACTGTTTGCGCAGAGTCCTGGATGACATTCGGAGAACTGTGCCAAAAAAAGGACATTGATCAGTATAGGGCAGCGTTTTGTATAATATGTGACAGGATGTGACAGATGTTTAGTAGTGGCAACACAAGCTATGGCCCATTTCCTGTGAGTTACTGCAGAAATGACTCCTGTTTCATTCGACACTTTGCCTGGAGTGTTATTTACTTTATGTCAAAACAGTTTACAGCAATGATAGAGGCAGGAGTCTGCACAGTTATCCATCTAAACAACTGAGAAACAAACAAAAAATAGACATATATTTAAATAGACAACCAACTTGTTGACTAAATGTATATGTAACGCTAGTGGTTATTTGATTGTTTTGTCCTGAAGACTGACTTGGCTTGTTTTATTTATTTGGATTAATTTGAACAAAAATTATAAATTTAAATCTCTTCTTTTAATTTGCTGACAATATAAGACCTTGTAGATAAAGGTATGTCAAGCTTTTTGCATGTCTCTCGTGTGTTACAAATAACGATTCTCCGCAAAAAACATGCAACCTCACACAAGCATGTTGTATATGGGTTTGGAGATCCCCTGACGGCACGTCTTGAGCGGATGCATAAAACACCATTAACACAAAAAATAATGTGTTGCCGATGAAAATGAAATTCTGTGTTGAATGTTCTTGCGTCTTCTTGAATTTATAGTTTATTGCATTACATCATGTATGAAATTAGCTGTCCATTTTACTGCTTAAAGCATAAAAGTTGTAACTGCCACAAATGGTCAGCAAAAAGGTCCATATTTTTGCAATGATCATGCAATTGAAGAACGTGCCAAGAAATGTCTCTTTTTTTTTTTTTGCAACACTTCATTGTTTCTTCATTTCTTCAATGTTTTTTCATTGTAACCTGTCTAGACGTAGGGTGAATTCAAGTTGATTGGGACACTTTTTCCTTTAAGATGACGAGGAAAAATTGTCTGAATTCACCCTAAATATTAACTAAAAATATATTTTCCACATTCACTGGAATGGCTTAGCCCTTCACCTTCAGCTAAATTTTGTCCCATACATGCAAGTGCATTTCATCATGAGAATTAGCATCTTTCAGCTGTTCAAATGTATAAAAACATGCAGTGTGCATTATGTGAAATGTATTTTCTCTCATAACTCACTTAAACAGAGGATTATGAGAAGTGTGTTTAGTTATATTATCATGATGATAATGTTTAATCACTCTGACTCTCTAAATGTTCCTGTCACTGTAATGACGATTGCATTACGATGGAAAGCTTTATTTATCTCAGAATACTGTGTGAATACGGTAATATAACTGTGAACTGGGTTAGACATAAGAGCAACTGTAAAAAACCAATTACTATTTATTACATAACTTATTTTTATTTCCATCAGCAAGAGAATGAAACTAAATTAGCGGTGGCTACGGAAATACTGCCAGCACTAATAATGCGCTGTACAGTTTAAAGACAGAAACTAGGGAAAGGTGTCAGTCTGAAAGGAAATATACTGTATTACTAAAGAAAACAGCCAAACTCTAAAGTTTGAGTCACACTTCCAAACCACAAGAGGCCGCTTACACTGAAATTGTGGTAAAATTAAATTCTAGTGCAATAAATTATTCACGAATCAAAAGAAGTGGTCTTTAAGATATGTTTATTTCTTTTATAATACAAGCTGCATTTCACAGACAAAATATATCATTTACTAATACTAAAATAGGGAAAGTAAATAATAAAAGTTGATTTATAGTCATTTTGTCTTAGTTGTAGAGGAAACAAAATGTGTCTCCGAAACCCCGGTACAAAACTTATAACATGTTAGCCAACATTCTAGATCGGAAATAAAGTGCATTTACCACACTGACATTTACACGCTTAGCCAATCTAACGATATCAACTATCATTTAGCCGCACTCTTAGTCGAAAGGGTTCCGTCATGGTGGTTCCCATCATGGGGATCAATTTATAGATTTTGTTTTAATTCATTTTTAATTTTGATCAAATTTCATCAGTTAAGCAGATCGTAAATATATTTTTATCACCAAAAAAACAAGCTTTTAAACAATCAAAACATTTCTCCATAAAGGGTTCTTTAAAATTGAGTCAAGAACCCCATTAAACCCTTTTTTCTAAGAGTGTGTGCATGCAGAAAAACCATTCAGTGAAGTTTTGCATTGAATGCTAATGAAACATATCTGATACTAAAACATATACTTACATCGTGAAAGTTATGTTGAAAAGCCATTTGAAATTAGCAGTAGGAATCATGTAATTCTATAATTAAGTTGTATAATTCCCACTGTCCACTGAGAAAACTCTTATCAGGGCAGGAAGGCATTGCTCTGGCTCCACTATATGCACACACAAAGCTGCACTCCTGTTTACAGTAATGGAGCTCCAAAGAAATGTCTCATCCCAAACTATCCGTGAACTCCGAATGGGTAGGGTATTTCCTTTAGACGCACACACACACACACACACACACACACACACACACACACACACACACACACACACACACACACACACACACACACACACACACACACACAAGCAGTCTCCCTGTGTTCCTCCCCTCTTTTTGTTTCTCCTGTTAAATGCTCCAGCCTCAGGAAAGTCACGTCCATTGATTCACTTAACAGCTCACTCACTCTGTAGTTGCCATTCTTTATTTGTCTTGCACTATGTTTTATCTCTCTGGACTACTTTTGCTGTTGCTGGATTCATCTATGATCTGTGGTAGGAGATCTTCAGTCTAAGAGATAACCCATGAGTTTACTTCAGGATGAACATCTGAAAGTCACTTTTGGACATTCAAGATGTTATCCAGGAGACATGAAACCACATTGCAAGCCTTTCTTTTAACCGTTGACTTATGAGCTACCAAACTACCAACCTGATTGCATAAGAACAGATTTATCATAAGAAATTGTGTTAACGAATGTCTGGTAGCAACATGGAGGATCATTAAAATGTTGATTTCTATATTCTCAGGTCAAATGACACAAGATGACAGAACAGCTTCTGGAGGTAAGGGACCAACTCAACTTATCAGTTATTTCTCCTAGACATAAACAGAGAGAAAATGGAGACCTTTGCTTAAATCTCCTGCTTCTCACTTACTCTTCTTAAAAATCTCACGTCTCAATGTTTCAAATCTGTAATCACATGTGCGATATCTCAATATGAACTCAAACATTTCTTTTCTTTTCTTTGATATGTTCATTATATACTCTTAGTGCATGTAAATATCTCTTTTTTTTTCTTAAAAAAATATATTTTTAGGATGAGATAAAGATTATAATTTAATAAAGTCTGATGAGCTATGAAAAGGAACATCTGAGCAATAAGATATTTCTTATTTCTTTCTGATTATAATTTGGATGAAAGAAAATTGACGTAATCCGTAAGATGTAAATTGCACTCAACAGTGGCTCTTGGTGCACTAAAATAATCTAAAGTTATTTTAAGTTCAACAAATTAAACTTAAGCTTCTGTCAAAAAGATTTTCAAGATTCTCAAAGATGGATTTGTAATTGAATACAGTTAAAATGCAACACTAAAGTATTTTTTATTTATTTTTATATAGCTCTTAAACACTTTAATCCATTATTCACCCTATATTGAAATGCATAAATTATAGAAATAGAAAATGTTATTTATTTTTCTCCAGATAAGAGTCCCAGAGTCCAAACTGAAAACACACAGAAAGAACTAAATGTATCTTTAAGCAAGGGTACGTAATGTCAGCATTATTTACACCTGCATCATCTCATCGCGAGCAAATTCATAATCACATTTTCCCCTCTTTCAGAGACACACAACGTCACGTATGAGGACAACGGTAAGAGAGTTTTGTGACGCTTTAGGGAGTATGTGAGCTATTAGACTTTAAAGATCGCTTGTGTCCCTATTAAATGAATCTCCTGTGGCTCAGAGGATTTTCAGAATACAGACTCTTACTACAGTCGCTGTAATGAGGAGGTGTTGAAGTTTTATACAGAGGAAGAGTGCTGTGCGACTTTCAATTACAACATGAGTGCACTTGGAAAAGAGAACTGGTGTAATATGGAGATGGTGTTAAGGTAAGCCAGAGCTTATTCACCTGTGACTTTACTTAAAATGACAAACCATACACCATAGTTCTATATAAACTGATATTTCAAAACCAAAGGAGCTGCAATTCTGAAACATTGCTTCAATGATGCTTTGTTGATTTATTAAGCAAGGATTTGATCTGTTTACCGTCTTACTTTTGTAAAAAAGTTGTCTCCATACATTTTCATATGCATTTTTGATGTTGCTATGAAAACCCTCACATTTATTCGGCTTCGTTTTGAATTGCTTTTGATTTCTGTGCAACACACTCTAAAATGAACCGTTTCTATACAGTGCTTATCTTCTGCACAGGCGCTACTGAGAAATGTGAAATGCATAGCTACATGGCATATACACAAAGAAAGGAAATGGTCAGAGAAACAATTGAAGGATGTGTGAGGAAGAGCTGAGCTAATCTTGAAACCTGATTGCTAACTATGAGACTGAGAGACCTTCTGGTCCATTAAACAATGAGAGACGTTTCCGTTTTCTACGTAAACATAGATAAGAGTGTGTTTTTTTGTTGTGAACCAGAGTGATTTGTGCCACTTATGGACAAATGCACTTTAAAAAGTGCTTTCTTTAGCGTGTTGTAATTCAGTGTAAAATTTTAATCTTCACTATACCGTTCAAAAGTTTAGGGTCAGTAAAGACTTTTATACTCACCGAAACTGCATGCATTTAATGAAAAATACAGAAAAACAGTAATATTGTGAGATAGTATTTCAATTTAAGTTCAAAGCTGAATTTTCAGCATCATTACTCCAGTCTTCAGTGTCACATGATCCTTCACAAATCATTCTAGTATGCTGATTTGCTGCTCAAGATCTAAATTTCTTATTATTATCAATGTTCTTTGATGAAAAGAAAGTTCAAAAGAACATTATTTGAAATATGTCACATTTGATCAATTCAATGCATTTGTGCAGTGTGTGTGTGTGTGTGTGTGTGTTTGTTTTTGTACAGTAAACCTATTTTCTCTGTCACACAACTCACTTTGTATCTTTTTCTCCTACTTCCAGAAGCTACAACAAGTTAACTGAGTGTTTGGAGTTTGTATCCAGTGTTTTCGGATGCTACTACCCTAATCGTGTGGTGGAGCAGCTGTTCGTCAGGATACATCAGCAGTACTTCAGCTTTTGTAGCAATGGAGGGGATTTGTCTGACGCGCCGGCTGGAGTCGTGCTCGTAGCCACACTGCTGCCCATCCTCCTTATACCCCTCATAGTGTACATTGTGGTCTGGAAGAGTAGTTTAAGGGACTGACTTTAGCAATTATCCCCCAGCTTAAATGAGTTAAAGTGATATTTCACTCAACAATAAAAATGCTGTCATCACTTGCTCACCCTTATGTCATTCCAAACCTGTATGCATTTCATTCTTCTAAAGAAGATATTTTAAAATTGTTGTCTGAACATTCTTACAACATAACATTCTTCAAAATATTTTGTTTTGTAGAAGAAAAAAAATCATTTTGAAACAACATGAGGGTGAATGATGAGGGTTTCAGTTTTTGGGTGAACTGTCCCTTTAAAGTCAGCTCTCGAGTGTATAAAGTTCATGTGCTTCATGATGTAATTATTGTAAATAAAAGAGTGGGTGTGTGATTTTTCTACACACTTAATGCCTAAGAGTCTGATTTATGATCATGATATAAATATATTGTGACTCTGAACTATTAATTCTGAAATACAGAATGTCCAACATGTCCTGCTAGACTTTATTCAGGTGTTGTATATCAGTTTACAGCTATTTATGAAGATTGAAAATGCATAGCAACTTGGTTACAACTGTAAACCTTAAAAAACATTAAACAAAATACTGGGTGACACTTTCCTCATGAAGCCTGTGTTTAATGCATTATAATGGTATTAGTACATTACAATGCATGCATAGGCATAATATGAATTATTCTCATGAATATGTATAAAGTATATATATATATATATAGGCCTATATATATACAATCATAATATAATTATATAAATATATCTTAATATATAACAACAAATAGTATAGTAAAAAATCATATCTTTTTCACATTAAGATAAGTTTACCAGCCTCATTACCACTTCATAATATCTCATTATGCCTCATTACCACTTCATAATATCTCATTATGCCTCATTACCACTTCATAATATCTATGGCTGTTTAAAAAGAGATCTAGCCTTTTTTACTTTTACTAAAAGCAAACAAGCAGCACTTCTAAATGAGTATAAGCACATTATAAAGCCATTTACAAAGACTGCATTTGTCGCTTTACTTTAAGCAGTAAAAAAAAAACACGTATAAAATGTAGTAAGATACTGTGCAGATGTTAAGCAATGCCAAGATGAATATATTATATATATATATACACTCACCGGCCACTTTATTAGGTACACCTGTCCAACTGCTCGTTAACACTTAATTTCTAAGCAGCCAATCACATGGCGGCAACTCAGTGCATTTAGGCATGTAGACATGGTCAAGACAATCTCCTGCAGTTCAAACCGAGCATCAGTATGGGGAAGAAAGTTGATTTGAGTGACTTTGAACGTGGCATGATTGTTGGTGCCAGAAGGGCGGGTCTGAGTATTTCAGAAACTGCTAATCTACTGGGATTTTCATGCACAACCATCTCTAGGATTTACAGAGAATGGTCCGAAAAAGAAAAAACATCCAGTGAGCGGCAGTTCTGTGGGCGGAAATGCCTTGTTGATGCCAGAGGTCAGAGGAGAATGGCCAGACTGGTTCGAGCTGATAGAAGGGCAACAGTGACTGAAATAACCACTCGTTACAACCGAGGTATGCAGCAAAGCATTTGTGAAGCCACAACACGCACAACCTTGAGGCGGATGGGCTACAACAGCAGAAGACTCCACCGGGTACCACTCATCTCCACTACAAATAGGAAAAAGAGGCTACAATTTGCAAGAGCTCACCAAAATTGAACAGTTGAAGACTGGAAAAATGTTGCCTGGTCTGATGAGTCTCGATTTCTGTTGAGACATTCAGATGTTAGAGTCAGAATTTGGCGTAAACAGAATGAGAACATGGAACCATCATGCCTTGTTACCACTGTGCAGGCTGGTGGTGGTGGTGTAATGGTGTGGGGGATGTTTTCCTGGCACACTTTAGGCCCCTTAGTGCCAATTAAGCATCGTTTAAATGCCACGGCCTACCTGAGCATTGTTTCTGACCATGTCCATCCCTTTATGGCCACCATGTACCCATCCTCTGATGGCTACTTCCACCATGTCACAAAGCTCTAATCATTTCAAATTGGTTTCTTGAACATGACAATGAGTTCACTGTACTAAAATGGCCTCCACAGTCACCAGATCTCAACCCAATAGAGCATCTTTGGGATGTGGTGGAACGGGAGATTCGCATCATGGATGTGCAGCCGACAAATCTGCGGCAACTGTGTGATGCCATCATGTCAATATGGACCAAACTCCCTGAGGAATGCTTCCAGCACCTTGTTGAATCTATGCCATGAAGAATTGAGGCAGTTCTGAAGGCAAAAGGGGGTCCAACCCGTTACTAGCATGGGGTACCTAATAAAGTGGCCGGTGAGTGTATATATAGGATTTATAATCCATTATAAACTAAATGGATATAACGTGGTGTTCATCACCCTAATTAAAGATTATAACCACAAATTGTATAAATTATTTTAATACTTATGCATGAGAGTATACAAGCATAATGCCTGAGGAATACCCTTACAATGCATTATAAATACAGACTTCATAGAAAGTGTTATTATTGTTAATTAAATATTATTTATGTTCATTAATGCTTCACTCAAGTTTGGATTTCTTTCTCCTGCACAGACACAAACACAAATAGCGTATTGTAAGAATCACAGCTCCCCCTACTGTCAGCACCACTGCTAGCAAAAAGGCCATTACGTCTAAAGAGTGATATGAGTACCAGGGCATCTTATAAGACTCGGTCCGTAAATGCGCTGCTCCCTTGTGCCGCATTACATACTCTATCCAATAGAGGGCGCTATCCTGAGGTTGTGTAGGCTTGTCTTTGTGTAGCCTAGACAGTCGCTGCATGTTTTCCCTGTATGACGGCTGATGTAAAACTTCCTGCACTGCCGCCATAAAGCTCTGGCTGTCCAGTTTGGTAGCGTCGAGCACTTTAGCGGCCCCTCGTACCTGGAGACGCAACATATTCTCGAACTGGTCAAAAAGCAAGGGAATCCCAACCACTGGAACACCATGGTAGATAGACTCATAAATGCCATTCGTTCCACCGTGAGCAACAAATGCACGTGTTTTAGGGTGACCAAGTAAATTGTTCTGAGGAAACCAATTAACCAGAAGAGTGTTGTTGCCCAGATTATGAGGACGTTCTCCTAAGTGCCTCCATATGACTCGCTGGGGAAGCTGAGCAAATCCGGCAGCGATTTTAGACGTGATTTCACTAGGAAGAGCTTTCACGAGCGTACCCAGTGACATTACAACCACCCCGTGTTCACCTGAACCGTTCACAAACTCCTCCAGGTCTGACGGTAATGGTTTGGAGGGTTTGCACTGGAAGCCTCCGATGTAGATGACGTTGGGCATGGTTGGACGCGGGAACTCAAAGATGAAATCCGACCTCATGAGCCAAATATCCGCACCTTGCAGCAAGTGGTAGAAATCAGTTTCGGGTCCAAAGTAGCGTGTGACTAGTTTGTCATACTCTGGTCTGACAACGAACTGGTCGATGTACACGTTCAGCACATAATGGAAGATATTCTTGACCCTTTCCCCAAAGGACATGTGGTTCGATAGGTGGCTCCCTGATGCAGGGACGTATGAAACCGGAGAAGGTGCGACAACAAAGTGCCCTTCTCCACTCGTGATCCATCTCACATTGTACACCATGGGTAATCCGAGTTTATGAGCCACCAGCACACCCGTAGGCAGACCCGGGTCGGTAAGGACCACGTCGTAACGTCCCTCGTACAGCTGTTTCATCAGCACAGGGTTTTCGAAAATCTCCACAACCAGCTGACTTGCCTGCCGATGCATGTTGTAGAGACTCGTCAGCATCTTCCAATTGAACTGCACGAATGCAAGCGGGGATCCTCCACGTTCCTGTATCTTGAGCATTTCACTCAGGAACGAGATGAAGAAATCTGGCTGCTCGATGTTAATGGGCTCCGGGAGGGTCACGGTTATGGCCGTGTAGTGCGGGGAATCCTCCTTGACGTACCAGCTGCTGGCGGTGCGCACCACGGTGACCTCGTGACCGCTGGAGTGAAGGACGCCAATCAGTATGTTCATGTTGACCCAGTGGCTTCCGTCTACCGGGAAAACAAGGATCTTTCCAGCCAGAGCGGAGGGAAGATCGGTGGCGAAGAGTACGGATAGAGCCAGAAGAATGTGTGAAGCTTTGAGGACCTTCATTGCTCCCTATAGTGCACATAAAAACACTAGTGTTTACAAGACAGATTTAAAGGGATAGTTCACCCAAATATAAAAATTCTGTCATTAATTACCCACCCTCATGTCGTTCCAAATCTGAGAGCTTTCTGTCAGATTGAATTTAGGCTTTTGTTCACATTTAAACATTGATCAGCGAAGATAAACAGAAGCTCAACCGAACCTGCTTGACGTGCGCGAACAAACCTCTTGCTGAAGCTCAAACGTGATGCGTAACACGAGAATGAACCTCATTGGTTCTTGCTGAAGCTCAAACGTGACGCGTAACACGAGATTGAACCTCATTGGTTCTTGCTGAAGCTCAAACGTGATGCGTAACACGAGAATGAACCTCATTGGTTCTTGCTGAAGCTCAAACGTGATGCGTAACACGAGAATGAACCTCATTGGTTCTTGCTGAAGCTCAAACGTGATGCGTAACACGAGAATGAACCTCATTGGTTCTTGCTGAAGCTCAAACGTGATGCGTAACACGAGAATGAACCTCATTGGTTCTTGCTGAAGCTCAAACGTGATGCGTAACACGAGAATGAACCTCATTGGTTCTTGCTGAAGCTCAAACATGATGCGTAACACAAGAATGAACCTCATTGGTTCTTGCTGAAGCTCAAACGTGATGCGTAACACGAGAATGAACCTCATTGGTTCTTGCTGAAGCTCAAATGTGATGCGTAACACGAGAATGAACCTCATTGGTTCTTGCTGAAGCTCAAACGTGCTGCGTAACACTAGAATGAACCTCATTGGTTCTTGCTGAAGCTCAAACGTGATGCGTAACACGAGAATGAACCTCATTGGTTCTTGCTGAAGCTCAAACGTGATGCGTAACACGAGAATGAACCTCATTGGTTCTTGCTGAAGCTCAAACGTGATGCGTAACACGAGAATGAACCTCATTGGTTCTCGAACGTCAAGCGAACATGCTTGAGCTTCTGTTTACCACAACGGATGTGTGCGTTGATGAACGTTCATATGTGAATGAAAGCCTAAAATAAATCTGTTCATCCTATAAAGCGGTCGAGTCTCTTCAGAAAATTTGGACCAAACCGCTAAATTCATATGAATTAGTTTTACGATCTCTTTATGAACTTTTTGAAGCGTCAAAGTGGTAGTTGCGTAGCTGTCAATGGAGGGACAGAAATCGCTCAGATTTCATCAAAAAGATCTTCATTTGTGTTCTCAAGATGAACGAAAGTCTTACAGGTTTGGAACGACATGAATGTGAGTAATTAATGACAGAATTTTTATTTTTGAGTTAACTTGCCCTTTAATATGACACAATGAAACTAATTTCATCAACAAAAACTGTTTATGTTTTTTCACAATCCAACATTCTTTGGTAGCACTTTATAACAAGGTTTCATTAGTTTGCATTAGTTAACTACACAGTTAACATGAACTAACAGTGAAAAATACTTCTAAAGCATTTATTAATAACAAAGTTGTATCTGTTAATATTATTTAATGGACCCGAGCTAACATAAACTAACAATGAATGGTTGTTGTTTTTTCATTAACATTAACAAAGATGAATAAATATTGTAACAAATGTAACTAAAACTGTATTGGTTTTAGTTAATGCATTAACTGACGTTAACTAATGGGACCTTATTTTAAAGTAAACAAAGATTATTGACCTAGTAGCTTTGTTTTACAAAAGATTTCAGTCTTTATACTTAAAAATATCAATGTGTTACCTGCTGTTTATTTGTAATTGTGAAATTTCCTAGCAAAATCTGCGAGGAAAAAATACACCAAAGCTTTTTTTCAGTGTGTAACTCATTCCTCTACCCTGGGAAATACTTCATGCTTGAGTGCATGAATAGACACACAAAATGTTTCTAAAACCCTGAACAGGCCGTGTGATTTAAAGCAGATGTGACTTGTTTTTGCTGCGGTTTTGCAGAAGGTTTTGCAGAAAGATTGAATGTTGTATAAACTGGTATTCCTTCATGTGAAACATGCAAAAGAAAAAAAGGCTTTTAGTGGGCAACGTAAAAGTTCTTTCTACATTTTAAGACAATTGTACTGCAACAAAAACTGTACAATCAGATAGTAATATAAAGGTTCTTTACTGTTGCATTAAAACTTAATAAAGCTCTTTTACCTTCTTCTGTTGCCTCTCCTCTTCTTTGTGGTGAAACGAGGGTTTGTTCAGTCTGGTTCCAAGTCCAGATCGAGTTTTAGAGTTGCATAACAGTGGAGGTAATCCCAGGAAAGTAGGCGTTGTTAACGCAGCAGTGTGTTCGAGTTTGTGTGAGAAGCGTGTGCTTCTGTTTCACAGAAACCTCCTCTAGGACCTAAAGCAGAGAAAATGTATTCGAAGAGTTTTCAACATATACGACAAAACAAATGCTATCTCCATACATGTCAAGAGAGAAGCGAGAGAAATCTAACTGAATCATCTGTGTTTTCTGTTTTTCTCTGTCACGGGACAGTTCAAGGATGATGGCAACATGGTTATTGTTGAATGCTTTCAACAAATTACATCAAAAGTCAGCTCATTAAACTCCTTAGATATAAGAATAAAGTGTGAAGCATGCATGACAACATCCTGAGAATGAAGTGAGAAGAAATAACGGGGTCAATGAATCTCAAAACTCAATGACAAGTCACATGTCCCCTTTTCAGACAAATATCTCAAAATATAAAGAAATTCCACGTAAAAGGCATCATTCTATCAAACCATTTATTAAATATTATGAACTGTTTTCACTCTGCTTTTGGGATATTAAAAAAAATGTCAAGTGCCTTATTTATTACTTAATTTGTTTTCTTGGGTTAAACAAAAAAGATCTAAGTGCAAAAAAGCAAAAAGAAAAAACAGTAAATAAATAATTTAATAAATGTTTGTCCTTTGATTTCTTGTCATTGGTGTTATCAATGCTTGAAAATACAAAAAGTTGTGGAAAAATACTTTCAAGGTCAAAGTTCAGAGTAAGAGGCTCTTTTTACCACCATGTTGAAAAAGTTTTTAAAGTTGTGTTTAAAGTTATTATTTTACATTTTTTTCAGTGGGTTATTACTTTAAAAATTGCCTTTGTCATGGGTGTTTGTCATCACTGGTGCTTTCTTCATTTGTGAAAAAAATTCTCCATTATAATTAATAATATAAGGACATGATGTTAATGAATAATTAGCTGTTATAACCATATGGGACCAAATGGGTTTTAGATCAAATAAAAAAAATCACTCAATATAAAAAATATAAATGTTTATTATAGTCCAAATGGTGTTTGATCAAGTAGCCTATTCATAATCTGCTGTAGCCTAACTGTTGAAAAAAAAGCAGTATGATAGCTTTCTAATAAGGCATATTTAATGTTAATGTTAAAATTATAAGATTACCTTTTTTCCCGCTCGGGCCATCAAAGATGACGTTTTAAGGCGGCATTGGGCATGCGCACATTGAGAGCGGTGAGCCGTTGGCAAACTTGACTATTCAGGAAAGTCATGAACATTCAGTAAAGCTACTGCATGCAACTTGGAAGTAGAAATACAAACACCATTGAGGAGATTGTAAACTTCGACCTGCATTTTGCCAAATGAGGTGAACGTTTGGTTAATTTTTAATTTGTAAGTTTACGTCGCATCACACGACCTGTGTCACGGCAGCCTAAACCGTGTGTAAGTAAATGTGTTACATCATTCTTGCTTCTATATGTATATATTACTAGTTGGTGCAGGCAAGTCTTAGATTACTGATTTTGTGTTATTATTTTTAACAATGTCATTTATCTTGAGCAAATACACTCCGCTGTCATTTAGTAGTAACAGCATAAGGCCACAGGGTGGCGACATTTACAAATGAACACTTAAACTTGAATCGATATCAACAATTAGTACACATTAAGGTTTTTCATGTTCATTTTAAAAGGTCAGATATACTAAAATGGAGACTAACATCACTGAACACACTTGTCTGATATGATTAATTTATGATTTAATTAATATTATGACAGATGAAAGTGAGCATTCATGCTATAATCTGGCTCACTAACAGTCTCTACACGAGTGTTAGATTGTTCATTAATGTGCACTGTCCCGAATAAATACATAAATAAAATAAAATGATTTGGACCATTTTGACTATATCTTTCATGATGGAGGAAAGGTTTCATTGCTACGTCAGTGGATGGTTGTGTCACAAAAATGTAACATCTGAATGTTTGCCCTCTTGATCCACAATCATTAATTATATAAAAACAATACATGTCAAAACGTGTCAAAATAAATGGTAGTTAAAAGAGATGGTAACCACATTTCATATGTTAATAAGTGAATGTAAATGTCAAAATGTTAAAATACATCATGAAAGACTGAAAATGGTCCAAATTAATCAAAAGTCATTAAACAAATGTGTGTTGTTTAGTTTTTAAATAACTATATGTTTATTCAATTAGAGATTTTCAACAAAAAAAGAAACATTCAATATCTGTACATGATATAGGCGAATGAGTATATGTATGTATTTGTGTGTGAATATAGCAGAGACATAAGGATATCCGCAGATTTAATTCAAACAGTAACATGTCCTATAGATCTCAAGCACAGATTCTGAGTAATGTGTGCGCATCTAGAAACAGCCTGCAACGCAAACTAAGACTGACACATCGGTCTGTGTGGTGGGTGGAAAACACAAAACACACACGTACACAGAAACACACTGATCTGTGGGCAGGTACCAATCTGACATCAAAATAGTATGCTTTGGCACGTTAGTGTGTGTGTGTGTGTGTGTGTGTGTCCTGTAGTGCAGTAGGAAGCAAGCATATAAATCTTGATTTCCCATGCTGAGGTTTACAGCCTCCACATATACAACAATTACTCCTACTTGGACAAGTGAATCCATGATTCACTGAATATAAAAACCTTGACCTAAAACAACTATTCATTTAAATAACTTTTGGTTTATAAACAACATAATGTTTAATTCATAAGAATTGAAAGAAAATGACAATCTCCTACACTTCAGCTATACAGAATCAGATATTTTTTGGGCATTGCTTGCACATTATGAAATAAAAACTCTAACGTAAAACAGAATTTGAAGCTGAAAATGTATTTTTTCACATGCATTGCCCAATATATTGGCACTATATTGATTATTTTATTTTAATTTATCGGTATCAATATCTTTGAAAGCCCTTTTCCACCACATAAGAAAAAACATGCTTTAAAAAAATCATAATTATGAGACAAAAGTCTTTTTTTATTTTTATGTCATAATTTTGACTTTTTATGTAATAATTATTACTTTTAAGTTGGTTTAAGTTATTTTAAAGTTCATTATGATTTTCCAAAGCATGATGGTTTTTTTTTCTTATGTGGCAGAAATAGGCTCTTTTTTTCTATATTTTTACTTTGCAATCATCTAATGTTTTTTTTTTTATATATATATATATATAATTTTGGTGCATTTGTAGAGTACGGAGCCCCTAAAGGGACGTGGTGGTGGAAAAAATTTAGGATGGGAGAATTTTTTTTTTTCCAAATCTTTTGCGTTCCCCCGAGAAACTTTGCGTTCCCTCGCAAAGATATTTGCGTTCCCTCGCAAAACCTGTTGTGAGCTCGGACAGACACTTCCTGTTTAATGTCCCGCTGGCAGTGTTTCAGAGCTCCGTACGTTAATGGAGCGTTTCATAGTGTTTGAACTTGGACTCAAATATAAAGAAATGCGGTCAGTGCTTAACTCAAGGAGTTCAGTGAAGTTGGCAATATATTCAAATAGGCTATTCGAACTTCCCGGATCAATATTCTTGAGCTAAAAGTTGTTAAAACACAAACGACACCTATTTACAATCACAGTAACCTAGACAACGAGCTACAACCCAATTCTCCTCAAAACGAGCTTTATAATATAAATGTATCTCTAAACAACAGCCGATTGAGACAAGTCCAAATAAGGGGCCGTCTGCAAAGTGCAAATGCCCAAATCCCCAAACCCTTCTGCACATTTTATATTATTAAACATATTCTATAGCTTCACTATGACACACTGTAGCTACTGTCACCAAATTCAGTTCACACATCACCGCTCTCCTGGTGGTTATACTACACGTAGTTTGATAAAAAAAAATGCATAATTGTTATGATTTTTTAGTATGAAATAAAATCAGTAACTAACTTCACTATACAGTGTAATGCCATCGAAATTCAGTAAGCAAATATAATGCAAAAGCTATGGTTGTGACTAACAGTACCAATATAATTTGTGTAAATAATAGGCCTACTTATTTTTTATGTGCTATTACTTCCCATACTATCTTTCCTGTAGCTCAAACAGTAGAGCGTTGGTGCTTGCAATGCCAAGGTCATGGGTTCGATTCCCAGGGAAAAGCAAGAACTGATAAGAATGTAAATGTGTACCTTTGGATAAAAGCGTCTTCCAAATGCATAAATGCAATTAAGTGTTCTATAACCAATATTAGAGCAGTGATGTGTGAACTAAATTTGGTGTGTTACAGTGAAGTTATTGAATATTTTTCATAATATAAAATGTGCAAAAGCAGTGTAGTATGACCAGCGGGTCACCATTGATGTGTAAGCTGAATTGGGTGGCACTACAGTTTGTAACATTGAAGTTAATGACTATTTTTTTATTTTTGAATATGAGTTGATGCTGTAGTCGTTTTTTGGGTTATATTGCACATTTTGCAGATGGTCCCTTGACTTGTCTCTCAGCCGCCTGCACATAAAGATCCATTTAGCCTATATTATAAAGCTCGTTTTGAGGGGAATTGGGTTGTAGCTCGTTGTCTAGGTTACTGTGGTTGTAAATAGGTGTCGTTTGTGTTTTAACAACTTTTAGCTCAAGAATATTGATCCGGGAAGTTCGAATAGCATGTGAATATATTGCCAACTTCACTGAACTCCTTGAGTTAAGCACTGACCGCATTTCTTTATATTTGAGTCCAAGTTCAAACACTATGAAACGCTCCATTAACGTACGGAGCTCTGAAACACTGCCAGCGGGACATTAAACAGGAAGTGTCTGTCCGAGCTCACAACAGGTTTTGCGAGGGAACGCAAAAGTTTTGCGAGGGAACGCAAAGTTTCTCAAAGGGAACGCAAAGTTTCTCGAGGGAACGCAAAGTTTCTCGAGGGAACGCAAAACATTTGAAAAAAAAAAATTCTCCCATCCTAAATTTTTTTCCACCACCACGTCCCTTTAGGGGCTCCGTAGTAGAGCAATAAAAGAAAACACATTTTTGTACCTTAACAATTAGCATATCAATTTTGGCCACTAGTGGA